TGGACTCCGGAGACAACTGAGCTTCTTATCGCAGCAGCAAATAATCAACTGGATGCATAAAGATTAAGGCAACCCAGACCTGAGGATACACTGCATCTCCAGTATATCCTGGAGATGCAGGTAAGGAAACCAGACAATTGGTTCTTCAAAGTTATCTAAAGTAGTCCATGATTACTGTGGATAGCGCAGCACTTGAAAACGCATTTGATACCATCTGATGAAACTTAGCAAGAGGCTTTATCATCACAGGAGTTTGCAGTTTAAAAAAAAGAGAGAAAAGAAATTAACATGAAACGTTAACTGGCAGCATACATACCCTTTTCTGATTCATACTCTTCAACTTCCTAGAAAAAAAACCAAACAAGAATAGTCAGTGTAAGAGTCATCACTATTCTATTGTGGTATTTCTTTTACATCACCATTAAGAAAAAAAATCTGAAAAAAGCTTGCCATTTGTTATCGTCATCTGAAAAAAAAAAAGGTCCTGAAGAAATACCATTAATTTTCAGCACACATTAACTCTGTAGTTTATTTGGCATCATGTCAGCTGGGACAGTCTAGATTACAAATGGGCTGCTGTATTTACACGCTGCATTTTTTCCCCTCTCAGCCAGCGGAGTGATTACAGGAATGAAGGGGAGCTAATCAAGCTCAATTTGGGGAGTCAGGGAGTTTTCTCTGCTGCCTACACAGAGGCAGGAATACAGCACAGTACACCACAGCCACGTCAAACAAAATGTTTGTGCAAAGTATGCGTGCTGTTCATTTTGACTTTTCGTTTTATAATTTAGCAGTTCTGGTCCAAAGGACCCGGCTGCTACAAAATGTTTAGTGCCACCGATGCATCCTCTCCTGTCCGCCTTGGGGACATTTTGTATGAACTTTAAAAGCTGATGATTAAATTGCAATCATCTCTAATCTATTCTAATCTTTCTCAGCTGGTGGGTCATGGTGTTCTTGTCCAGGTCTAAAAAAATGTCAAGGGAACAAAAACAAAAAACCACAACAACTAAAAACATATAAATAAATGGAGCTGATAATGTCCTGTAATCCAACTTCAACTCATCATTTTACATGTGTTAATTAGGAGTGGTGAAACGCAGGTACCACACAGGCTGTATCAGATATTACTTCCCTTTTTAAACAAAGGGGTGCCCAAGTTACGTTGCCAAGCAACAGAGTCAACTGGTGGCACCATTATGTGACCGCAAGCTGAAACTGAGGATGCAAGTCTCTCCCAGTTCTGGTGCTGAGCGGGAATCCTTTCCCTACTACCGTGCAACACTGTTTCTGAATGCGTCTTCTCTGCTCTAGTTTATCTGGAGAAAACAGAGACTGGACATTTGACATTACTCCAGAGTGACTGTCTGCTCCAACTCCTGACTCCTGTTCAGTTCTTCCATTAACTCCTTCATATTCACGTTTTTGACGTGAGGGTTTCTCCCACGTAGGAACTTAATGCTTCTTTAGATTTTTGAAGAACAATATTTTCAAAGTACTTCAGATACTGAGAGGTAGCCTTAAATTTATATCCCCGAATACTTTTAAACTGTACTTAAAAAAATATTCCAATTGTGGATAAAATCTTGTTTTTCTCTGCAGTCTATTGTTGATTCCACAAAGCTACATAACAGTTTTTAAAAATATATATATTTTCCAACTTTTATATTTTGTTTGAAAACAGCATCATTGCCTTTTACAACAGTTATTATATCAACATTATGATTAATGCATGCTACACTCACCTTGGAAGACACGTCTTCTTCCACGGTATTTTCCAAATCAGAATCCGATTTCTTCCCTGAAAGATTAAGTACATTCATGTACTACGGAGTCAGTATATGAAACTAAATAAGCACCATTCACGTTCACTTGAAACGATAAAATAATGAGCTGACCAGCATTACCTCTAGATTTCCCACTTAACCTCGTGGATGAATCGGTCGACTGAGGAGTTGGAATGTATTCTGGGTCACCGCCTTCATCTTCAATAGCCTTAAAAAGATGTTTTTACAGATTAAAAAAAAGAATCCAACCATCAACTAACTACTTAAAAATACAACCCAAAATCTTGGTATATTTCAAATATATTACAACCATAAAGTTGAACACAAATATGAGAAATTAACCACAAATCCCTCCACCCCTCATCTATACCATTGTTTGTGCAAAAGGCAGAGTAAACACTGGATGTGTTACTGGTCCTTCACTAAACAACAAAGACGAACTGGACAAAAAAAGATACTGGATGGCAATTTAGAGAAACCAGTTAAACTATTAAGAATCCATATATTTATTTTTGACTGTAGGAGAAAGTCAGAGTGACTCCACAAATGCAGGGAGAGGGCATGCAAACTCCATCCAAAAAGATTCAGGCCGGGATTTGGATCCAGGACATGCGAGGCTGAATTTCAGTAGCTGAGGCTAATCACGTGTAATTTGCAACACTCGTTCATTCCCCTTTTATTTCAAATAAAAAAAATGCAGATTTTTTTTTTTTTTTTTAAGTACGATTAGTATTTTTCCTCAAACGTTGATTTTCCGTTTGGCACCAATTTATGGCGAGTTTTCAATTTCCATTTTTAGGGTTACATCAATTCAATGCGATAGCCGTTGAAGATTGAACCGAACATATTTACTATTTACCTGTGAATTTACCAAACAAGACTGCGTATATGTTTGCATATGGGAAATACAAGAACCGAAACCTAAAGGTTAAACCGCATGAGTGGCAATTTATTGATCTGGACAAAAGTAGAGCGGCTGGAAAGACCGTCACAACATTAGCTAGGATTAGCACTAGCCTCTCTGCATCGCACACAGAACTCATTCAATAGTCGTGCTACAACAACGGATTCGTTCACTTACTTGCTTAAGCCTTGAAAGCAAAACACTTTTTACGCCAAACGTGTCCAAGCCCCTTCTTTTGAGCTCCGATTTGAGATCGACAACCCTTAATTCGGATATTTTCTTTGAATCCGTTGAAATGGCACCCGACGCCATTTTACCTCTAGATTAGCGAGACGGTTTCTTCCTCGCGGTCTTTGGTCAAATGCCGCAGCGCCGCCTACTGTCAGTGCACCGACTGAGCTACTGTAATATATTCGAGAAAAATTACTTTTCTGGAATGTTACAAAGACTGAACACACTGTTGCAAAAAATAATCCTTCATAAGAACAAAATAACACTGTTTTACTGTATTGTTTGGCAGTTTAACATACAAATAAGCAGTTATTCAGGACTTTAAAAACACAAAAGAATAAGAACACACAGTTAAATGATCATTAGATCCCAAACACTGAGACGAAATATATCCATAACATTATAAAGCTGCTCAGCAAACCTATGACGTTTTTGTGCGACTCTAGTGCTAAAAGTGCTGGAAATATAAAGTGAGACCTTAAAAAGTAGATTAAATCACACTGGGATTTATGTGTATTAAATTCCACATAAACAGGCTCCAGATAAGATGTGAACAGTGAATAAAGGCGCTTTGTGGTGAACATGGTGTATTTACATCATTGTGCAAGGATTATAATTAGCCCTCACATTACATGTACCAGTCATATATTTATTTCTGGATATCTTTTATGTTAAACAGCTATTTCATGAATATAATTTGTAAAGATGACTTTACAAAAAATAACTCATAACTCCAGTAATTCAAAAGGACAGCTGGATATGGTGAAGTACAAATGAGGTTTTATTTTATTTTTTTCTGATTTTACCTAACAGTAGCAGATTTCAAGGAAACTTATTGCATTAAGTTCATTCAAATGTATTTTAATAAAATATAATAATAATAAACTAATATAACCATTGTTTGCTCTGATGTGAACAGGAATCAAAAGACTGGACCCTGAAAATGATATTAATCAACCTTTATATTCTTACTGTGGATGTTAATGCACATTACATTTACTTAACTGAAAAACAACTCTTGAGAAAATATAGACCTTAATGGATTTGGTGTTGGCCTCAGTTATATTCTCTGTTGTGCTTTGCTGAAGCAGGAGATTATCAACAGCTCAGAGGAAACAACAAGATAAGCTGATCAGGAAGGCCAACTCTGTCCCCTTGACCCAGTGCCAGTGGTGGGAAACAGGAGAACTGCAGCCAGACTGATATGTCTGCTGGACAGTGTTTCTCCCCCATGCAACAGCCGTGGAGAGCTCCTTTAGTGAAGCTCATACAAGCGGATGCATCCAAAATGCACAGAGGTCTGTTATGAGGAGCACTGCTCCAACCCTAATAAACAAGCTAAAACAGATCCTATTAGTTCTGGGTTTTTTTTTTATTTATTTGTAGAAGCACATTTAGTGGGCAAAGACATACACATTTTGCTGTGCTCCTGTACTCATTATGCAACATAAATCTGTGTACTCTGGGAGGTAATGTACAACATGTAATTTACTCACAGGGTTCATGGTATATCTTTCCTTTTATTGCAAAAGTTTTGTATTTTCAAATGAGTGGAGCTTAGTTTGTTTGATTTTCCTTTTCACTTTGATAGTTTCTCTATTGATGGACAAAAATCAGTCCTGATTTAGGCACTGTAAATCCTAAAAGATTCTCTCAAGGCATTTGGCTTGGATATCAGCAACTGTTACAGTGGAAAGCTGTGAATTTGCCTTTTTTTTAGATCACGTTTTAAATGTTACTGTAGTTTTGTAAAGAACAATTATCCTCTGTGGTATTTTCTTTTGTTATATATTAACAATGAGATATTAGTAATAACTACTATCTCAAATAATAATTTAAAATTACTTATGTGGTTCTTTTTGCAGGTCATTCTTCAGTTTACATAGCTCATTTCAGAATAATAAAAATTTAAACTGTTTATTTCTATGAAAATGATTTGTGCAAATTTCCTCTTTTCGAGTCCCATCTTTGTACACTAGAGGGCGCACCAGTATTTGGATTGGAGATGGACGAGCCCATAACAGAGTAAGAGCTTAGTATTCAGGATTCTGCATTAAACAGCAGTAAAACGCAAATGACTGTCCTTTCTTAGGTTTTCATGTGCTTTCTCTTAGCTACAAATGGCACAAAAAGTGCCGTTTTATCAAGAAATTTTTTTCTGAAATGGAGCTTGTTCGCAAAGTGGATGCTGAATCTGGCGCCTCCTTGTGTCATTCCGGAGAATCACCGTGTTGTAGCCGTAGCCAGCCAACAAACGACCTGCTGGGTAAACAACAGTGGATGCCTCGGAAGGCAGGAATGGGAACTTCGTACAGGGCAAATAGTGAGACTTTTCTATCTTGTTAAACGGGATCAAAATATATAGCTCCTCTCCAGCCTTCTGAAGGTCGGTTGGATGCCGCGACGAACCAAAATGGCTGAATATATTCGAGTATTTAAGAAGTAAAGTGGAGCTAGCCTTAGCTTAGCTCGCCGCTACGGAGGGCCCGCTGCCGTCGATTTTGTCTCTCGGCTCTGCTCGGGACTGTTGTCAGTTTCACAATCCCTGCTACAACCTCCCTCCGGTCGCGATCTCATCGTAGGCCTGTCCGGTTGCAGCTCGGGTTATCATCCAGATAAGTGTCCATTTGAAACGCTCGACTCCTATTTTCTTCTCGATTTAACCTCTCATGTCACGAAAAGGACAGTGACACATTTTAAAATCAGGACTTAGACCCAGGTACGTGTTGTCTTTGTTGTCTTCTGTCTGGAGCATTTTTGCCAAGCTACATAGCTAGCTGTCTACTTTGATTTCTGATCTTTATAGTCCTGTTTTGTCATTGATAATGTTCAGATTGTAAGGTTTAAGTGTTAACTCGGCCCTGGCTTCTGTCACTTTAGCAGCCTTAATGGGACACACACAAGCGGGCTGTAGATAGGTTTATTTTATTCTCATTGAAAAGCGTTGTAGAAACTAGCCTCAGTTTGTAACTCAGTTTATTTCCCCTAGCTGTGTTTCTGCTGGTCTAATCTCAGACAGAAAGAACAGAGGACAGCAGATATAGTTGGTCTCAGCAAACAGGCTCAGTTGAATAATTGAACTGGATTACTGTTACAATTCCTGTAAGTACATGGTTTTGTTTTTAGTTTTTTGTTTTTTTACAGGCAGCCTGTACTGTTTTTATTTTGTAATGACACACCAATCTCCTGGTTATAGTTTACTGGTTATTAGAAATCTGTGTCAACCCTCTGCCTGAATGCTTTGGGATCTTTATTTCCTCTTTGGGGTCGGGTTGTTGCGCAGTGCCATCTGAGGACCCCTAGTTGACCCTGGACACCCCATAATAGAGGAAAGAAACCTATCCGGATGCGCTTTTGACTACTTTATTTGGACTTTTGATAAATTGTTGCCCAGACCAACATAAACCCTGCACCCCTATGTCTCAGGAGTCACATCTTCAGGTCAAGTGACAGCCGGCATGCTGCTATGAAATTAGCTGCAAAAGAGGAAAGCAGTGACATTGCCTTGTGTGCATTTCCCCCTCCCCATGACTGCAAATCACACTCACACTGCAAAATACTCCAACATCATGCACAAATGTACATACTTAGTCAGATGGCCTGCACCAAATGTGATCTGACATTTTGTGTTTCTCTGCTGCAAAGAGACGGTGAGTCTAGATTAGACTGACTGTATCCAGTTGTATTCCTGAAGGAAAAACAAGTGTCTGGTCATTCATGCTACAGTTTATTACTAACATACTCAACAAGAAGGCTTTGTAATGCGTCTGATGCAAATTAAATTCCTGTCATATGTCGAGACACTCATTGCAGCTAATATCCCCCCCCCCATTGCTTTGAATTTGAATTTGTCCACAACACAACGGTGTGCCGGGGACTCGGAAAGCACGGGTTTTGTTTCCTTATGCGTTACATCACTTGAACTTCCAGGTGGCTACATAGTCGTTGGTACATGATGTACCTAAATCGCGTTTTGACATGGTAGCAGCGTCTCCTTATGTTCAGATTACATTGTGTAAAGCCGTGTGGTCTGTTACCACAGGCGTAGCACACCGCTACAAGTTTAGAGGCACGTCACAATGAAGTTATGTGACTGTTTGCTGAAAACCACAGTGCGTTCATTCAGCGTATGGAACATCCTCAGCAGATAACAGCAGGGAGATGCATGAAATGCCCTTTTATGGAATATTTAGTTGGTTTTTTTATCAGTTTCACCTCTTTTACTGTAGAAGTCTATACAGGCCCTAAACTGCTTAACCACAGTTTCACATGCCTTGCAGCATAATTGTTTAAAAAGAAGCACCCACGATTTGTCGTGTAATATTGGCGTATGTGAGATTTTATTTCAGATCGTGTGGAGTGATTACACCAATTTCTTTAAAAAAAAAAAAAACCCTTATTGAATTGTCAAGTGTTGACAAAGTCACTTTTGCAACTTCTTGCCAGTTTGGAACAAAATTAATCCAGGTTCGTCCTGACTGCCTCTTTGTGCTCATGGAATGAGATCGGAGCAGATTATCGCATATTTTTCTGATTTTTAACCCCCTTTTTTTTTTTTTTTTAAAGGTAAGGTCTTAACTTGAAAATGACGGTTTAGGGAGATCCTGATTTCCCTCTAAGAGCAATCCGGTGCCATCCGGAAAGTATTCACAGCGCTTCACTTTTTCCACATTTTGTTATGTTACAGCCTTATTCCAGATTGTATTAAATGGATCTCTTTCCTGAAGATTGTATGCACAGATTCCCCATCACAACATTAGGGAAACTTTTTTCTTAGACTTTTGCAAGTCTATTAAAAATAGAAGACAAAGACATCACTTTGAGATAAGTATTCAATGCTCTTGCTTAAAACTTTGTTGATCAAGTACAGCCTTTTTGAATAGGATGCCACCAGCTTAGCTCACCCAGCTTTAAGCTGTTCCTCCCGTGCTTCTTTGATTCTTAGTGGACTGGAGTTTATTTGTGCAGCCATTTTCAGACCACACCAGAGATGTCCAGTTGAATTCAAGTCTGGACTCTGGCTTGGCCATTTCAGGACATTCACAGGTTCTGAAGCTGCTCCTTTGAGGTCTTTGCCATGTGTTTTAGGTCGTTGTCCTGTTGGCAAATGAACAGTCTCACCAGTCGGAGGTCATTAGCGCTCTGAAGTGGGTTTTCATCCACAGTGTATTCATCTCCCCTCTGTCTTAGTCTGCCAGTTCCTGCTGCTATAAAACATCCTCATTGCTCCATGATGCCACCACCGTGTTTCACTGTTAGGATGACGATGAGTCTTGCCATTCGCACCAAAATTTTCAATCTTTGTCTCATTAATCAGATAATTGTGTTTCTCATGGTCAGAGAATCCTCCAGGGGCCTTTTGAAACTCCAGACTGGCTGCTGTGTGCCTTTTTTCCCAAGAAGTGGCTTTCATCTGGCTGCTTTAACCTGCAGGCCTGATTAGCGGATTGCTGCAGAGATGATTGACCTTCTAGGAGGCTCTCCCCTCCTTTCCTCTGGGGCTCGGACCATCAGGTCGTTGGCCAACTTCATAGCGAAGGCCCTTCTCCCCTGATCTCTCAGTTCAGATGGCCGGTCAAAGTCCTGCTGGTTCCAAACGTCTTCTTTTATGAGTGATGGCCCTTCAGAGCAGCAGAATTATTTTTCTGTACCTCAGTCCTGCCTCAGAGGTCTACAGACAATTCCTTTGAGTTCATACTTGTTGTTTGACCTCTGATCTGTCATCTATTGGACCTCATGTAGACATCAATGCAGGTGGACTCCAGTTAAGCTGTAGAAACATCTCAGTTTTGAGATTCATTGCAAAGGCTGTAAATACCTACTTAAATGTTATTTCTGGGTTTCTGTTTTAATTCATTTGCAGATATGTTTAAAATGTTTTTCACATTGTCATAAGGGGGTGTTTGTGTGTGGATTTCGGGGAAAGAGATGAAAGCAATTTGGAAAGAGGCTGTAACGTGACAAAATGTGGAAAAAATGAAACTTTCTGGACAAAATCAGGCAGTCAAAGACTTTAAGTACATGTCGTGAACATTTCTAAACGGAATGTATTTTTTCTTTCTGTGTTACAAGACTACAGAAAAACAAACATGTTATTTAAGTCAGTTAAGCTTGTCAAGAAGGGAATCATCTGTTCACATGTTGAGCAGTCAGTGCATTCCTTTAACAGCAGGGATAGTTTGAAGGTTTCCTCTGACCTCCCGCTTTTGTTTTCTTTCTTAATAGATTTACATGTCAGGACATAAAGTTAATTCAGCCAAGAACAACCCAGACTCATCACATTAACATGAACACGTGAGAATTACTTTTGTCAGTGATTCCCAAATTACCTAAAATCAACAATGGAGCAGTCAGATCAGCACTGACTCATCCTTTACCTCTGACTGAGCCTACGGTATTTGTTTTCTCTCTTTAATCAGCAGCATTGAGTCACACTGTTTTAGTTTGGACTCAGACAGAAGCGCTTTTTAAATGAACATATCGTTTTATATTTGACAGTGCAATGCACTGTTATGACTGGTTGGGTTTTTGGGCGGTCGCAGTTGATTCATTCATAAAAATGTAAGAAATTCTTGATTTTTTTTTAATTATTTTTTTAAACATGTCAATGCAATTGACTTTTTTTTTTAAGTTTACGTTGAAAAAAATATTTTTTTTTGTGATACACTAAAGCTTTTGTTATCTGTGAGACATAATCATTAAAATAAATCCCTGACGTAAATCCCTGCGACTGTAGTGATTTTACATAACTTGAGTTTCACTTTTGTAACCAAACTACTGAAATAAGTTGACTTTTTATTGATATTTACCTTGTCGTTTCCATCGTTACAATCCTGACCTCTCTCTTCACGAGTCATTGATGAACAGAGCGTCTTCAGTCAGAGGCTTCTTCAAATTCGCTGCTATACGGACTGCTACATGAGATCCTTCCTGACCACAACCATCACCATCTATCATAACTCTTTGAAGAATCTTGAGTTATAGCAATATTCAGTTTCTCTTTGGGATCAATAAAGTATTTTTGATCTTAATTACTTGAATGTATTTATGTGATTGACAAAAATATTACATCAAGAGAATCTAATTCCTGCATCACAATGTTTAGCTAATTTGCAACACCAATCCCATGAAGGATCTTTAACAGGGAATGGTTTTTTTTTGTTGCATTTTTTAAACTTATGTCTCTGTTGTAGGTTTTGTGAAATGCTGCGGACAAAAGCCTTGGATTTAATGTGAGTGTGTCTGGAGACAGCGCTGCTGCCACCATGAAGAGTGAAGTGCCATCTGAGGCCTCTAGCAGACAGGAGCATCTGAAGGAGCCACTGGTGAACCCAGAGTCCATGGACGGCGCTAAGAACTTCCCCAACAACATGGAGGTTCTCGGAAAGGCGGCCAGCGACTTCGAGGCCCTTTGTGAATCCAGGCACCGGCCCCTGAGGGACACGGGGACGCACAGAGACTCGGAGAGGAGCCTGGCAGGGCGGAGAAAAAGAAAAGGGCAGCAGGCGGGGCCGTCGGACTGTTCGCTGAAGGAGGACCACGTCAGTGAGAACTCGCTGGCTCCTCAGCGGGCCAGAGTAGAACTTTTGCCGCATCCCAGTGAGGACGAGCAGAACAACGAGTCATCCTTCAGTGACTGTGCCTCTTCCCCGTCGTCCAGCCTCCGGTTTGGAGACTCGGACACCCTTAGTTCAGATGACGAGGGGGAAGCCGGAGCGACAGGGGGCCAACACAAGGCCCCTGCCCTACCACCTGGCGGAGGCGCCGCGGTCGGCCTGCGCCCCGGTCTGGGCCGAACTCGGAGTAGTCGCTCTCACAAGTGGGTCCGACCTGAGCCCGAGCCGGTGCTGCTGAAGCGGCCGTGCCTGAGCAGCCGGCGGCTGCCGCATCGGAAGCGCTTTGTGAAGACGGCTCCCGGCGGAGGCCAGCGGACTCAGAAGCAGAAGGAGCGGCTTCTGCTGCAGAGGAAGAAACGGGAAGTGATCGCACGGAGGAAATACGCTCTGCTCCATAGCACCAGTAGCTCCAGCAAAGAGCTCAGCAGCGACTCGTCCTCGGCGTCATCGACCGAAGCAGAAGACGAGCTGTATGTGGACGTCAGCAGCACCAGCAGCCAACCGAACAGTGCTACTGTAGCCACAGGTAAGGACAAACCTTCCACTCACACCAGCAGCCCTGTTTGGTCTGTTTTAAACAAACTCTAGTACATTTTTCCAGAAAGTCTGGTTCGTTTTGGGAGGTGTGAAGGCAGAATTGGACTCTGGCGCGGCTCAAATGCATATGTGGATGCATCAGACCAGAGACCACTAAAAAAGCAGAAAACAAACTATAGCGTAGGGCATTCTGGGTAAATACAGCCAAAACAAATGCAAGAGTCTACTGCTAGCAGGAGAAATTACTTGTGGTCTTTAACCAAAGTCAAGAGAAATCCTACAATCCCTAAAATCTTACTCTACTCCATTTTTGTTTACATTTTGTGACGAGGCAGGTCTTCCGAGATTTTCATCTCGCTTCCTTTGGTGGTTCTTGGTGCAGCGCCACCACAGGTGAAGAGGGGGCTAACAGGCTTTTCAAAGGGTTTGGAGTGTGAAAGCAAACCACACTAGCTAAAAATGTGACAAATGTTGCAATTTTTATCTCAAATCTAACAGAGTCCACTGGTCTGTCAGGTGTGAAAACACAAGTACAGATATGTCAAACACTCCATGCTTTACAGCTAAAGTAGATTTATGTTTGCTTAAAAGCACTGCTGGACAACATGAAAGGCCGCATAATGAGATAATTTATCAATAGAAAATAACACATCTGGCTACAAAGGTTAATACGCACCCATTGGAAGATATTATATGTAATGAACTGAAGTAGTTAAAATATATTCTGCATGACAAATGACTGATTTGATATGTTTTTAAAGCAGAATATTATAGATTGGCGCCTGATTTATCTGCTATACAAGTGCCTTAAAATCATTAAAAAAATTTGATATAACGCAACATAATGGTGCTTTTATTTGTTCAAGTGTCTTCAAAAAGTGCGTCTGTCACATTAGTTACAGCTTTTATTTTCTAAATCTGTCAGAAATTGTGAGCTCAGGTTCTCGCGTCGGTTTTCAGCTTTTATTTAAAGCACAAATAACGCAATACTGTAAAAACTATGCAGTGAAAGGCGGAAGAGAAAACGGGCTGAGACAAGGTCGTGCAGCTTACAGCGATCAATGTGCTGCTGTTTTCGCTCGGCTCAGTCGGCTCATACTGAGGGTCTTTGTGTCCGCACCGTGGAAGCAGGGTTTTCAGCTGTTTCACAAATGTAGTAATTGTAGAATAATTGATTGTGCTGGAAGAAATTGAGTGACTTAGCTGAGCTGTTTTCTGCTTTTAGTGTTTTATTGTGCCTGTGGCCACGGCTGCAGCGGCTCCGAGCGATTAGTGGAAACTCTTCTTACATCATCCAGTCCAAACAGATGCATCTGATATGGGACTCTAATTATTAACGGATACTATCAAAACTAGATTCTATCCTAGTTTGGTGGGATAAATTAATTTTAATCGATGGATAAAATTTTTGAAGATTATTATTATTTTTTTTTTTTTGCACCAATGCACTCCTTGGGTTTCCCTTGTTGGGGGGGGCGTCAACGCACCAGAGCAGCCATCTTGTTTTGAAAGGCGCATGTTACAGTTTTCTGTTTATTGGAACTTTGAATTCAGGTCAACTGGTAAAAGGGCCATTTTAAGATTTTAATTACGAGAATAAGGTCAAAATAATGCCATTGTAAAGATATACAGCGTCAGTGTTACCAGAATGAAGACGTAATGTAAGGAAAGTAAAGGAGTAATTTTATGAGAACTCGAACACGAAAAATAACGAAAATTTAAAGTGAGGAATGTTATATGTTGGTATGAAGAAAATACTTGATCTTAACACATCATCACTATGAAATTATGATCAGTAGCAGGACTCTGAAGCGATTGTGCAATTGACTGAGCGTATTTCGAAGAAAAGCACACAGACTGAGTTGCTCACGTCAGATCTTGATAATCAAGATCTAGAGATCTTGATAACTCTGGAAGGTTTTTTCTCAATGAAAAAACATTTTTTCTGATCGTTTTCAGAGGTTTTTCTGGTAAAATTGCGTTTTTAATCCTGCTAATATCACGACAATGTTCTTGTAGTTCAATAAATGTTCTTATAGCCTAGCCGTAATACGCCTTCGCACAATTGACAGAAGGGATTATTGGAATAAAAGACACTTTTTGAAAACATGTACTATCCTTTGAAATTTTTTTTTTTGTTTTTTTTTAAGAAAAGAAAGCAAGAAAAAAAAATCAGAGCTGGTATGAAAAAATGTGAGATTTTAATTAAATTGTAACTTAGCAAAAATGTAATATTCAATGTTTTTTTTAGATTTTCATAAGTCTGACAAAAACTGCAGCTTCTGTTGCCATATGTTAATGGCAACTGCTTCCCTCTGCTACAGTAACAGCTTTATGCAGATCAAACAACAACGCTCTGGTGTTTTTCTGAGCAACAGAGGATAATAAGCCCCACCTTTACTTTGGCATACTGTATCTCCTGTGTAGCCATTTAGCCTCGGTAATATTCCTGCTGCCGCGGCCCAGAGGGAGGATGGAAAGTTAGCTGCTCTCCCTCCGTGGCGGGAGGCAGGTGGGAGCAGAGCGAAGACGCTGCCGAGCAGCAGCCTTTCGCATAGAAACAGAAGGTCTCTGAGGAAAAGCGAAGCATTTGTTTACAGCAAGGAGGCGAGTGATGAAACCTTCCCTGTGAATGTCCAGCGCTGGAGTGGGTGTGCCAGTTATTCAGGGAATAGCTCAGGGAATAGCTCAGGCTTACCTGTAAGGCAAGTTTGCCTTACAGGCTTACAGGCTTACCTGTAAGGCAAGTTTGATGTAAGTTATTGAAATCAGTGGAGAATAAGCACCTCAGATAACTCTCACTATGCTGTTTTCAAACCAAGCAATGGCCCTAAAGTGAACAACATCTAGCTTTTCAATGTTTTTTTTTTAACCTTTTTACTTATTAAGCAGGGTTTATAAGCCTGGTGGGCCAGCAGGCTTTACTTGAACCCCCGCCAGGCTAAGCATTGCTTGTTTATTTATTAAAATAAAATGGTTTGAAACACAATGGCAATATAATAGGTATCTTTTTTTTTATTCAATGAAACTCCCTAAGCACAGCCTGTCTTTACTGGTCTACACACTAACAACTTCAGCAAATAAGCTGACAAGTCACAGACAAAGAATCAAAAATTAGGATGAAACAACTGAAATGCAAAAAAAAATTATACTTTTTCATGTTTGCTTTTCTTTTTAGGTAGAATGTCTTCCAATAACTAGTCATATTTTCAAACTTTCTGCCAACTTTTTAAATCAAAAACAAGACGGGCCGCTGGCGGACTGCCCTAGCACCTCTGACTCTGGGCTTAGCGAGTTTTCTGGGGGAAACCCCGTTAAGAACAGTCGCTGTCGGCGTTATTTGCTCAGCCAGAGTGAGGTGTTCACTTTCAGGCAGCTAGACCTGCAGAGGGTGCCTAGCAGCAGCTCTCATGAGAGCGTTGGGGCTAAAATCCTTGACTTCATGAGCAAGTCAAAGAGATGTGCACCGAATCAGACCTTACAGCACAAAGTAGAAGTTACTTCATTTTCATATTGCAAAGTAATGTCCTTCAGCGCACGTCTCATTAACTTACAGCGTTCCCCCTCTGTGACCTTTATTCTGACTTTTCTTCCTTTGTCTTAGATGGAGTAAGAGCAGCACTTGCAGTCCTTTAAATGCATGCTGTTTCCTCAGATTTTCACAAACACGCCTCACTGTGAGCTCTTTCAGAATGTGGGATGACAGTGATAAAGTGGGCAGCGGCAAAGTGCTTAAGATTTACACAAAAAGCTCAGTCTTGTTGCAGGAGTTTGACTCACACACCCAGCGAATGAGTCAGTAGCTCTCACTTACACTGAGATATCGTGACAATAATTAGAAACAGGCCTGCAACTGTGAGAACTCAGATCTGTAACTGGTGCGACCACACTGTCACGCTTTCTGAAACTAGTAAGAAAATATGTTATTTGATTTATGAACTCCAAAGACTGCAAAAGTTTGACAAAATGTGTTCCATGTTTATACCCTTCTCACTTATTATTTATAGAAACTGGTCTACAAAAGTACTTATTCAACTTTTTAAATTTTTTTTTTTTTATTATTTATTTATGTAAAACTAAAACACATTTCGGAGGCAAACATCACCGCAAGATTTATTTTTCTTTTTCATTGTTTTTAAGAGTTAGATCGCACGAAACAAAGACATTCGTTGATGTGCCCTCGCCTCAGGTTTTGAAGTGGACCAAAATAAATGTTGAAGTTTCCTGGGGCAAGATACTGAACCACACTTTCAACCCAGATATTCCTCTGTAACCAAAACGAAAGCTGAATATACAGAGTGCAAATGCTCTGTTTAAAAAAAACTAAAAAGTGAAGCTAGGGGCAAGAAAACTGATCAGGCAAATGCTGGATTAGTTTTGAGGGGAATCACAGCCAGACTAGCAGTTATAACGGGTTCCTCTCCCAACTAGTCGGAGGGAAGCTGCCTAGTTGCTCCCTCCCCAGACAAGCAATGTAGTCAATGTGGTCGCTTTTACAAGGTGTTGAGAGTGTAGGAAAATGTATATAATATCGGTAAATATTGGTTATTGGCCATAACAGTAGTATTGGTATTGGATATGAACATTTTTACATATTGGTGCGTATTTACCCCTTTCATGCATAGTGGTCACTACAGTGGACAGCTATCTAAAAGCTATTTTCTTGTGCTTCTAGTGGATTTTTATGTTATGAATGGACACAGACCACTGAAGTGGACACTAATGCATCATAAAATAAACTATCAACTACTGGCCATCAGCTGCAAATGCAAGAAATTATTTTTGTTAAATCCAGTATGGCCGACAGACAAAAAAAGCATGTCGACCGACCCGGTCCCTCCTTCTGCTGTAGACATCAGGTAACCCCTACAGAGCAATACTGCTGATGTATTTTGTCAAATATTTGGAGAATTTGGAGAAAATAACAATTGATCACCTACAAAAAAAAAAAAAAATTACAAAACTTTTTTTCCTATGTATCCTGACAGAAAGGATCATAATTCATGAAAGGGTTAATAACCATCTAATTCATTCAACAAAGAAAATAAGTGCTAGTCTTTTTTTTTTTTGTCTATGTCAACCAGCACTAACCAGAGATCTGTCACGTTTCCAGTTATTCTCTGTAGGTTTATGTGAAAACGGTGTCTCATGTTTCCTGATGACGTGCCTCAACTGTAGCGAAACTATTTCTACCCCAGATCACAACCCTTCCCCCTCGGGTTTACTCCCACTGTTTCAACGTTGCTCCCACTTCTGCTGGTTTTTAAGAAACGATTTCTCTAAGCCTTCAAGTGCTCACCAATCACAATTACAAAATCAAGATGATGTTACGGCCATATGGCGACAGATGTGCGTCGTTTGTCTGATGTGTTGATGTCCGCTGGTGTGTTCAGGCGCTCTGGATGAGGATGTGGTGGTGATAGAGGCGTCTCCAGCTCCGGCAAACGCTGTTCCCGCCAGCGAGGAGATCAACGTCACCTCGACGGACAGCGAAGTGGAGATCGTCACCGTTGGAGACGGATTTAGGTAGGTGCTGGAGGGTGTGACGTTTCTGTTTGGTCGTCGTGCAGCACACGTGTCAAACTCGAGGTCCACGGGCCAAATCTGGCCCGCCGAGGCTTTATATGTGGTCCTAGAGAGCCGACATTAAAAGGAGCTTGACTGCTTAAAAAATTATTTTATCAAAAGCAGTTTTTATCTTCATCTGCCCAATTACATCAATGTGAGAAAATGTTCAATATTATCTAATTTTAATAAGTTCTCATCGAATGCAGAGTCGATACCCATCAACATGTTAACAGATATTTTTATTGATACATTCTGCCACAACTGGCCTTTTGAAGACATTCTTGATCTTGCTGTTGCCTAAAATGATAATGAAAATTACTGAAGTCTTAAAGCATCAGTAAGCAATTGAATTTGATCAAATATGATTTTTGTCACAATGTTATGAAATGAAAACCTGAGCGGCTATTACAGCTTGGTGGTTGTACTTGGCTTCAAACCATGCAGCCCCTCTTCCTCCAGCTTTATTTGATTATATTACCTTTTAATTAAACATAGCAAGGCATCTGAACTCCATCCAGTTTAACCAATCAAGCCACGCTGATTTATTGTTTTATTTGCTTTGGCTAGTTTAGCTCTTGCAGCTTTGCTGATGCTGTTTAGCTTTAGTGAACATATTTCCCTCTTCCTAATTCCAGTGAGAATCGTTTAGCCTGAGTCCCTGTCAGGTCTGTTTATGAGGTTATTGTTCGTCAATAAATGAACAATGAGCTCATAACTTCTTCCTTTGTAGGTGCGAGGAACCAGTTTTAACTATTGTTTTAACTCTGAGAATAGAGCATAGAAAAACATTTGTGTCCAGGCTCACTTTCCAAACTTCCACATTTCCAATAAACAACGCTCATAAAAGAACACCTTATCTGTCTGCTCTGCACATCATATGAGGCATTTTATTAAATTACTCATAATAAACACTCTTTTTTTTCTTGACGAAATGCTTTCGTTTGGTTCAGGCTGAAATGGTTTGAGTTGTCTAAACTTATTGAATTATTTCCACGATCTATCCAAACATCGCTTTTTATACATCATTCTTTTATTGAATAATTTAGAGGCTCCTGCTCTTTTCCCAGCTTCAGTTGTGTCCTTTTGGGAAGGAAAAGATTGCACACTGAGCCTCTGAATATTATTTTCTGTTTGCGGTGTGCGCAGGTGACAAAAAGACAGGATCCTCTCTCACTACGTTTTCTGTCTCTACTGTGTTTGTTCGAGTCTGTGTGATTATTTTCTGGCATGCAGCATTTTGTTTTTTTATGCCGTTCTGAAGTTTTATGAACTTGAAAGAAGTTCTGCAGCCTTGCGTTTGTGTTTATTAGTTTGCAGAATTGCTAATTTGAACAAGATGAGGAGGCTAAGTTGAAGGGAAGTCCCATGAGGATGCTTTGTTTTTGAACAACTAGATTGTCAATAATTACCGTTCGGCTTATAATTTGTGTTGAAACACCGGACAAAATATTAAAGAAATGAATTTATCGAGAACGAATCCCGGTTGTTAACTTCATCAACATGCTAAAGTGAAAAGCTGCTGATGTAACTGTTGCAACACACCACAAATCCATCCCACTGAACCCAGGACTTTCCTGCTGTATAAGGCAACGATGCACCACTATGCAGCCCGTCTTTTACCCATCATATAGAGCGTCATTATTCTGTCAAATTGTTCTTCTCTTCATTTCCCCCCAGCATGTTACGAGTCATATTTTCCCCCGTTCGTGTGTAAATTTCTGTTTCATTACTCCTTTTAATCTGTGATCCTGCACAAACATTTTCCTCTGTGGTCACATCTGTCACACGTTTTTTTGTCCCCTCACTTCTGTAACCACATCCCCGTTTCCATTTTAGCACCAAGTCACTAAGAATATATGGTTTCGGTTCCTTAAAGTTGCTACCCAGAGCCTGGACGGTCATGATTTGCCTTCTTTCCTGTCACTTTTCGGATCTCCTCTCTCGCTAGATAACGTAGCGATGTGTCGAAGTGGGGGATGGGCACCAGTGGAGCAGGAGGGTGGAGAATCAAAGGCCGACCGAATGAGCAATGAAATCTCTGCTCATGCTGACATCGGCCCTGTTTGCTAACATGCATTCATCTGCAGTTTTTGTCACTTGTGTCTGTGTTAGTTTGTACTACAGTGTCTGATTCTGTGTTGGGATCTCATGTCTATATATTAGGCGGTAAACTGTTGGAGTTGTGTGACATTTAAAAGCAGCTTTTTGGCATCATCGAGAAGCGAATGAGATTTATTTTTTAATAACTAACGTGTGTCCTTCCTAGGGGTTCTTTCTAAGAGTAATGATTTGAATTATGAATCAGTATTTGTTTATTCATGTAAACTAGTGCAACAGAAGAAGTTTCTGTTAATTTGGCTGCACTTTACTTGTAGTTTCCACTGTTAATAAATAACAGCAGACATGTTCACCGGTCTCTGCTCAGTACATGTAAGACTTTGTTAAAACGTGAGCTTCGTTAGGTAGATTTTCTCCGTCTCCAGAAAGTGTAAGAAATCTTAAATCATGGTAAGAAAGTCTGCTGTGTAGCCGAGTGCCATGAATTGTTTACCACTCCTCACGCTGCTATTCCTGCCCTCCCTCCCTGTTGAACTCCCAAACTCCCAACCTTAGCTGTCACCAGCATCGGCCCCAGCAGCTTACTCCACATTGCCGCAGTACGATCAGCCCGTCGCTCTCCTCCCGTCCCCGGGGCCCGTGCCTCGTGTCGCTCTGCCCTGGCACCACCTCGGCCCTGCCAAGCCCCCTCCATTCCCATAGTGATCATATTTATAACGCCGTGTTTTCCTCTCTGCTGGCACCCCTCGTCCCCAGAGGTTCCCAGTGGTAAACAGATATTTACAAAATAATCCCAGGTCTGCTTAATTAGCGGCCCTTCCCTAGTGTCAAGCCTTGGCCCGTTGGGGTCGACCCAAAGCAGACGAGGAAGTCCAATTAGACTCCCCACTCATCTCCTCAGTCTCTCTCTACATCCCAGCCTCACTGCCGGGTTTTGTTGGGAGTCTGTTTATCGTGTCTGAATTTGCACCCTGGTTATAAGTTGTAAGTATAAGTAAAAGGTACTTGAGCTTCCTCTTCATACCACTTTGATTGTGTATGTAAAAGGACATGGATAATGTGAGCAGGTGGGAATTCCCCGTATTGCAAATGGCGCGAATAAAAGCATTTCCTGCCTCATGGCTGCAGAAAGCCAGCGTTTTAGATTTATGAAAAAAAAAACAAAAAACAAAAAAAACATACTATTTAAGTAATTTATATCATTACAAAGTAAATTTACATTACTGTAAGCTAATACAAAAAAACAAACTGTCTGAAATTAATGTTTTCTATTTTGTCTCATATTTAGTTCTCACATTTAGCAGCCTGGTCATTTCAAGTTTTTAAAAAGTAATTTTATTTTGGATTTGAACTGAAAACAAACTAACAATCAGCTGAGATCTTCTTGAAATTGGGATGACGATTTTGCTTTGTGCATAAAAAGTGACAATATTTGCAGTAAATTCAGGTTTATTTCTGTATTTCCTTGAGGTCTGACCAGTGGACTCCAGTTTTAATCAGCCCTAGTTTTCCTTTACATGAACAAACGAACAGCGTAAACTTTGTTTTAACTCATAATAAAGAATAAAGTAATAAGCATAGAAGACTAAAGAATAGACAATTAAAAGGTTGCAAGACTTCAAAAATCATCTGTCATTAACGTTTATCTGATTTTTACCAAACACAAACATGTATTGTGTTTTTTTTTTTGTCTTTGCAGGTTGAAGAATGTGGGAATTATTTTAGTTTTGATTAATTTAATAAACAGAGTAAAAAAAAAAAAAAAAGTAAATGAGCCACTGACCTGCGTCTCACCGGTCAAAGTTTACCTTGGGACACAAAACTGTCCAATTTTAACATATTTGAATTTCCATTTCTGTAAGCTGGGGAATCGATTTAAAATGGTGACGCGGAGTGAAAAGAAGAAGCAAAGTTGTTAGTTCCTTTTAACAAAAAACCAGAGCTGAGCAGACCAGCAGCACCAACTAAAGCAAAACCTCACCTTGGTTTGATCCACTGCTTATAAACTAAAATAATGAAACAAAAATTACGTGAATTTCTATTAGCTTCGCTACTAACGTGGTAGTGAAATAATTTATTTTGCATATTAAAGAAATAACCTTGCAGGCTACAAGGCTGTTAACATCTTTACAGCAAACTGCTAAAATATGAAATATTAAACATCAAAATTAAGAGTCAAACTGCTCAATTTACCACCTGTCTGCAAACTGAGCAAACAAGAAAAATTATGATTTTTAATTCGGATTTCTCATTTGATTAAATCGTTCTGTTAAGGTTTTCTCTCCACTCTTTCTCCTTCGCTGCTGGATATTTTTCAAAAGCGCTGAAGTCCTCTACCTCAACTTCTCCATGGCAGCGTGCTGCATGGCACTCCCACACAGCTTCCTGTCTCTCGGGGTCATTCCTCCCCCCTCTGCTCACCTGGCTCTTACCGCACCATGGAGGGAGCTGCGGCTGCTCCCTTGTTTCTCACCCCCGTCTCAGAGGCCGCGGAGAAGAGCAGCAGGAGCCTTTGAGAGAGAAAATTAAAAGAAAGAGGAGAACGCGGCGAGAGGACGAGGAGGCTGACATTTGAGGGGCATGCAGGAAAATTAGCTGTCTGGGGAGCAAAGGGGAGGATTTGATGCAAGTTGTGCATTCTGAGCTCTTGTGGTTGAGCTACGCACTGATTTGTATTAATGTCTTCAATCAGTATCAATATTTATTTGCTTTTGTTATTTAACCTTTGGAGATGATGATTCAAAGGAGGATTCTTCATAAAATCAAAAAAACTATGGACTGACTATCCTCTTCATGAGCCTGTCTTTGGAAAATAGAATGTATTCAGTCAGAGGCTTCCTCAGATTCACTGTAACACATACTGCTACAAAAGATTTTTCCTGCCATCGCCATCTACAACAACTCTTTGAGGAATCTGAATTAATGAGTTACAGCAGCATTTAATTTCCCTGTATGCCAACTTGTGCTCCATCTTTTACACTTGGTCTTTACACTTTCCAGAATAACCACTATTGAATTGCTTCACTTGTTTGCATGTTTTCAGCTCTTCTATTTTATCGCTGTGTCAGTCAGCTGTCACCGAACTTGAATGTTCTGTTCCAGAAAATCTCAGCATCACTGAGATTTGAAAATATATAACTTCTAGGTCTATACCTTAGTTTTGTTTGTCTTTTTATTTTTTGTCTGCTTGCATGCAGGTCACGCTCAGTCGGGGGTCTCAGTAGGATTTGGGGCAGCAGTTGTGCCCAGAACCGCCTCCAGGAGCCGCGTGGACGTCACCGGCTCTCAACGGTCATCCAGCCGCTGCGCCAGAACCCCGGGGAGGTGGTGGATCTCACCGTCGACGAGGACGGTAAGATATCCAACTTCCAGCGTCTCAATGTCTGAACTGAATACAGTGAACACCTCTTGATTTAAAAAAAAAAAAAATTATTTAATGTGAAAACCACAAACCTCAATGTATTGTATTTGGCTTTTAAGTTCTAACTGTGAAAAAGAATGAAAACAATGAGTAGTTTATATATATATATATATATATATATATATGTTTTTTTAATACCAAAAAAAATCTAAAAGTACCCCCCAAAGTCACCGAATTTGTGCAAGGGCAAAAAGGCAAAACAGTACGACCATTTTTAAAGTTTAGCTGTAATGCAAAATTCACATTTTGCACTTTTTTATATTTCCGTATATGATCACAACTGCTTCTAAAAACAATCCAAGCTCCTAAAAACAAAAACCACCCAGCTGTTTTCTGGCAATAAGTTAAATTTTTTTGTGTCTGGAAAAGGAGTAATTTCAAAAACTTCCCAAATATTAAGTTACAGTGCTAGGTAATGGCACAGTGCCGTTACCTAGCAACCTTAGCAAAGCCCAGTCCGTCACCTAGCAACCAAGCGGAACTCCAGCCTGGTTGGTCAGCTGGTTTTACTGCTGCAGGTGATGCACAAAGGCTGCTGCAAGAGATCAGAGTCCTCTGTCTGCAGACATTTTTATGTGCGAGTGTAAACGTTGAGTTTAGACGCGTGGCCAACAGCAGCTTATTTTGATTTAAAGTGACAAAAGTCCTAAAAACCAACTCATCCTGGAAAGAGCTCAAAATAGGCAGAACTGACCAGACTAAACTCTCCTTATTTAAGAATGATTTTGTGCAAAAAATATAATGGACATACTTTTTGAAAAACTTATCCCAACAAGTTCAAGGAACCGTAAAAGGTTGTAAAAAACTATTGATCAAGAAAGTATGCTCATTTAAAGAAGTACATAAAGTGCAGAATGTCTGATGCTTTGACTCATTTTTGTTTCCAATAAAAATGAATTTGGATGCAAACTGTTCAAAACATCCAACTATCTGTGCATCCTTACTCCTACGGGTTTTATCCTTGAAGTCAAAGCTTTCCTGATGTTATACTTTTTATTTTTTTCACTCAATTTAAAATAGCTTTGGGGAAAATGTGAACTAATGTAGTAGATGTGATAACAAAAACTTGAATAAAAAGACAGAATAAAAAGTGTTCATTAATTGAAGAAGTAAATTACTGCTATGCATCAGCGAGCACCAACTTGTGCATAAGCCAGCAGCCAGTATAGCTGTACCAGTTCGTTAAAAGCACAATTCTCAGCCTGGGACTGAATTCAATCAAAACACTTCGGCAGCAAAGCAATATAACTAAAGCAGACTGTATTGTGTGTGCTTCTTTGTAAACCCTCCTCAGTTGTAGAAACAAACCTTATTATCCTCTCAGTATTTGCAGCCTATCTGCTTTTCATATTCACAAATGAATTTTTCCCTCCCTCCCCTGAGAAATGCAAACACTGGGAGGCCTTTCGCTTTGGTCTGCATCACTGCCCTGTGTGGATCGCCAGCGCTAAAGTTTTAAAGTGCTCCACTTTGAATAAAGGAATAAACAAAGAAACTTATTTCTGTTTTTTTTGTTTTCTTGAACGTAAACTTGACGAGCCTTTGTCATGATTAAAGAAAAAGCAAACATACATAGGCATTGTACTAATTGTGAGACATTCATGCATCTTGCTTGTCTTTGTTTCTCTTCTTCTTCTCTTATAAAAATGATAGAATTAGGGAAAAAATCTACACTAGCTGTAAACAAACTTTTTATTTTTATTTTTTATCAGACTCTGAAATCACTGTGCATTAATTATTGTCATTTTCTAACTAGCTGAATTTTTATTTATTTATTTTTCCTCTGCAGATCTCTCAGTCGTACCAACAACCTCCGGCAGCATTCACACTCAGACAGTAAGGTCGTCCTCGTCATCGTCATCCTCCCATCACGCCTCTACCTCTGAGCTCAATGACGCCCCGGGCCCTTCCACCAGCTGCGCAGGTTCAATGCCTGAAAGTGTGCACACACAGAGAGCCAGTGGTTCTGCTCGCACAGCCGCAGAAGGTAGGGTGACATGAGGACAGTGAAGCCAACTACTGTTGACTGATCAGTCGTGATGTTCTGTCAGAGTCTGGTTTATGCTTACAGAATGGCCACATGTCCTTAAAAAGTCCTTAAAAATTAATGCATCTAAAACTAAGGCTTTAAAATGTCTTAAATTCATTTAAAAAAAGGAAAGTTGGCCTAAAAGATGCAGTCTTTTTTACTTGTAGGACTTATCTGTCAGGCAGATGTTTGAATCACATTTGAGATGTTTCTTCAATTCATTCTGTGACTGAATGCTGTTGTAACTCGCTGCTAATATACCCTCGCTAACTAGTAAAAGGTATATTAGCAGCTATATATGGAGTGAAAATGGAGGGAGGAAGCTAGCTAGCTAGTTTTTAGCTAGGTAGGGGAAATGGAAGGAGGAGAAACTAGCTGGTAGCTAGCTAAACCTAACTAGCTAAGTAGCTAAAAACCAAAGGAAGAGAAAAGCTAGCTAGGTAGCTAGCTAAAAAAAACAAGCTCGCCTCCTGTACTAGCCGCCCCCTGTGCTGGAGTCAGCGAACTAGCTAGCAAGCATGCTTTTTTGTATCTCTAATGATTAAGTAGTGTAAATTTATTGCCAGGTGGCTGGACGGCGTTGGTCTTTGGTATTGGATCACTTCTCTTGCCGACACACACAATGAAATTTGTGCAAAAAAAAAAAAAAGCTTAGCACTAAAAGGGTTAAGGCTGCTTCTTTTGTTCATTTCTGATATGATACAGATCTTAAATTTAATTCATAATGGTCTTTAAAAGGCTGGAAGAAGTCTCAAATTTGAGTTGGTGAAACCTGATGAAACCCTTGTTTTTAATCTAATGTATTGAAATAATCTATCTTGTGATTTCTTTTTTTCCTGTTCAGATGACAACAGACCAGGCTTGTCTGGTACAGGAGGAGAAAACTCAGGCACAGCCATGCCCAGACTCCCATCCTGCTGCCAGCAGCACTCTCCGTGCAGCGGCCCCTCTCCTGGTCACATGTCCCTCAACCACCCCCATTCTAGCTGCTTGCAAGCGTCCTCCTCTCAGCAGACTGCCGGCTCTCAGCACAGCCACAGCAACACTCACCACTTTGTCCACCATATCCATCACCCGGCACCACAGCCCCCGGGAACCTTACCCTTTCAGGAGCCGAGCTGCCCTGTGGAACGCCCCAGTGCTCTGCCTGCCCCCTGTGCTGGAGTTGGCAACAGCAGCAGCAGCAGCAATGGATCCCACTACCATGACCAGGTATAAAGGAGCTGAAGCTGCAGAAACACTAAATCTTCCCTTGTTTCTTTGGTCAAGTTTCCACTGCAGATATCTTAGTACATTCAAAATAAGTCAAAAGTAACTCTTCAGCACAATATAGGAGCTTGTTTAAGTAAATAATTCCTTTATATTGATGAAAATGTATTATTTGTAAGTGAAATAATCTGCTAGCGGAACGAAACATTTTAACTGGGGGAAATGTTGTTTTTCACTAACAGATTACTTCCTGAAAAGTTGCTTCTAGGGTAGTTTTGATTTATTTACGCCAGGAACTAGACCAAATATACTTGGGAACATTTTGTGTGTTTTTGCAGTGTGTTGCCACCACGTACACACATTTCAGCAACAAGGCAGTTCAAAGTGTTTTATTTGTTATATGTTTTTATTATTATGGCTGTATAAACTTAAAGTGCTTCTTCATGCTTCTACTATGTATAAACAACAAATCAGATCTGCAGGATGTCTGAAATGATACATATATTTTCTTTTATATTGGTAAGAAAAAAACTACAACTTGTTTAGCAGATTGAAATAGACACTGATGCCATTCAGATCTTGCATCCTCAGTGTTTCTCTTCCCCTCCCACAGCAAACCCTGCCAGTGGACCTGAGCAACAGCAGCGTTCGAGGCGGTGGCGCCGGGGGTGCTAGTTTCCATGGCAGCACGTCAGCCTTTGACCCCTGCTGCCCAGGCTCCTCCTCCCGGCCCCCTGCTTATGTTTCACATGCCACCCCAGGGCCCAGTCAGCCAGCTGTGGTGGACTCATTCAGCTCCTCCATGGTGGCTCAGCCACAAACACAACCTCAGCCCTGCAGACATTACATGCACCAACCTTGTGAGTACGAGAAACCGGCAGCAAGAGTTGCTGATTCCCATAATAATTAAGCATAGAGAATAAAGCTGTGTGAGAATAATAACAGTGACACTTTATTTGAAGAGGTCTGAATAATTCTGACATGACGATGTCACAAACATGACACCTGTTATGAACATGAAGGAGTCTTCATGAATGTTTGACTGTTAAGTGTCATTCTGTAAATTATGACACTTATAATGCAAAGTTGACATTTATAATGCACTACTAATGCAACTTTACATTAAAAGTGTCATCATTTACTGAATGTCAGGCTTATGCACAGCCATTCAAATAAAGTGTTACCAAATGAACAAACAGTCTTCAGCCTGGTGGGGGGACAAGTAAAGCCTGGTGGCCTGCCAGGCTTAAAATACACTGGGGGAAACCGAGTGGTAAAAATAACTGCTACAATACAGAGTCAAAATAAAGAGAAGTAACAAAGAGTTGTAATGCAAACTAGAATTGATCTGTCCTCCTGTTATTATGAATCAGAGGCAACTCTAAAGAGAGTTTTAGTTTGATTGAAAGGAACTCAGTATTTCATAATATTTCTGGAAGTTCGTATTATTATATATAATCGTTTTCGATTATAGGAGCTTAAAAACTGAATGTTTGGTTCTGGCTAAAGCAAAAATATTTTCCGTTCTATTTGTGAGATTCAAACCAGTTGAGAAATTGACCTGAAAGTCCAGCCCGGCTCTCCATTTGTTTCAATAATATGTCATGGTTAACAGGGTAATGATCCGGCGTGGAAGTCCAGCAGAACCAGCACTGTGGTTCTTCCACAGTCTGTGTTTATGTGGATGTCATTCCGTCCTTTCGTTTATTGATGTGTCCGTCCCTCCATGTCCCTGCAGCTTTTGGTTTTTGCAGATTCTAACCTTGAAGTCTGCAAAGTTTATTCATACTTTAAAATGTTTTTTAAAAAGACTGGAAATAAATAAAACAGTCTTAGTTTTGGTTTTGTTTGAAAGTGTAATACTTCAAGTTATATGAATAAAATTTGTGATCTCTTGTTAGTCATAAAACAGAGACAATTGGAAACGCCTCATTTGTCATTTCATATCTTAAATGGAGCAAAAGCCTCATTTGAGAGCACGGTCTCTGTGTTTTACTGTCAGTTTGGTTTGAATAGATTTACTGACTCTTCCCCGGTTTCTTTCCCTGTTTCCAGATGGCTCTCTAACGCGATCCCTGCATCATCAGCCCTCCTCCGCCTGCCCTCACTCCCACGGGACCCCCCAACTCACGCCGCAGCCTCCTCCACAGGGCGAATTCCTCATTCCCCACTCCTTTCATACGCCACTGCCATCCCACCCTGCAGGCCACTCGGTTCCTCCGGCGCCTCCACCTCCCCTCTCCGCCCACCACCTCCCCACTTCCACCGTGCCCCTGGCCCAGCACCTTCCACCGGACCACCAGACCCTGCAGCACCACATGCCGCCTCTGGGGCCTTCGGTGCAGAGGATGCATCAGCACGAGATGCTGCAGAGGATGGAGGTCCAGAGGCGGAGGATGATGCAGCACCCCACGTGAGTGTCGGCGCCACAGATTCGTAAAAGTCGGGGACGTTTATTGGTGAAACGCATGTTATTTGTTTTCCTCTGCAGGCGGGCGCATGAGCGGCCACCTCCACACCCCCACAGGATGCACCCCAACTACGGCCACGGACACCACATCCACGTGCCACAGACCATGTCTTCCCATCCTCGCCAGCCTGAGCAGAGAACGACATGGTGGGTTTATGGTTTCGTCTTTTAATCGATGACGTTTGCGTTTCTGAAATGTCTGGATTTCTGCCTGCAGCACTGATGTAATAATGACTCTGTCCTGTTGAACAGGGAGCTTGGCATCGAGGCTGGTGTACCAGTGGCTTCATACACTTCAGGGCACCTGCACTCTCACCTGCCTCACTACCATACTCCCCCGAGACTGCACCACTTCCCCATCTCCTTAATGGTAGAAAAGACCTTTGCAACTATTCGCATAGAAGATAACAAACACATTTCATACAAAGTCTGTGTTGGGTTTGTTCTGCTGGACACTAGTTACCTCAGAAACAGTTCCTCAGACCTCATGAATTATGCATTAGCAATTAACTCGAGCTCATTAAGCACTTTAAGTCTGCGCTCAACAAAACCAGAGTTCATGTTTAGTTTGCAGTTTTGCTTTATAATTTCTGTTAAACGGTAGGCCTGTCACAATAACAAATTTTGCTGGACAATAAATTGTCCCAGAAATGATTGCGATATACAATAATATTGTTTTGAGACCATTTTCAAGTAACGGTAATGACATAACAATGCAATAACACATTTTCAAAAATCGATAAACTTTAATTTCTAATAAATATTTAACTTTGGAAGTGGAAGACATTTTAAATATACAAAATAATTAAAACAAAAACAACAAATAAAATTAATTATCAAGTCTCTGTAAACAAAGGTCAAGTTGAGACTGAAGCACCAGTTTTTGGTAGACAGAGATAATTTGTTGGTCTGTAATGTTTGTTCTGTGTTCACTAATAGGTTAATTAATAAACAAGAGAGAAAAATGAGAAAATGATAAATAATGAAAATGGAAATTATTGAGTTTTAATTTATCATGCAATAAATAAATTTTCTGTTACTGAAATACACTCAAAAAACATTTTAGTTATGTGTTTTTTTAACTACATGCATTTGTCTAATGCCTAGTTTTGTTGCATAAATTACATTTTCAACACCAGATATTTGGAAATCTTTGTTAAAAAGTTCAGCATCTCTTCTCGAGTTATATGCAATATTCAGGCTTTAAGTGCTTTTCAAGGCCTTGTTGTGATGTTTTATATAAGCCCGTCTTTGTTTCCTGCAGCACACTACTGGCATTTCTGAAGTGACCTACCCGCACATTAGGTACATCTCATCGAGAATGACAGGCTTTGGAAGAACCTACGAGGTGAGAACTGCACCTGTCTGCTGCTAAATCAGCTTTTCCTAAAGATGAAGAATCAAACTCTGCTACACACACACACACACACACACACACACACACACACACACACACGCACGCACACACACACACACACACACACACACACACACAGCTAGTTAGCTAGTTTTGTCAAGTCACTAAATACAGGCAGCTTGCTGTATGATGTGATTCCTGTTTTTTTCATGTAGTTGTGAAACTTTGTCACCCAGAAGTAAGGTTTAGACTTTCCATTTGGTGATGCAGACTCAGTTTGGTGTCACACCCTCAAAAGCCCGATTCCAGGGTGAGAAACAGTTCAACATGGTGGCGCCGGGTGTGTCCGTTTTTACCATCCTTTCAAAATGTGACTCAGCTACAGATGATGATGATGATGATGATGATGATGAGGCCAATGAGACGAGTTGATCAGCTTTTTTACTCTCTGACCTGACGATGAAGAGAAATTGGGTTTGGCTAAAAATTTTAAGAGCTATAACATGAGAAGATGATTTATTAATACTAGGAGCAGAGGTCATGTCCCACCTTGTGTGAAAATGGCAAAGTACAAAATCATTGGGAGTTAGCATTTGAAACATTTGTTTTTAGCATCTTCAATTAGCGTTTTGCAGATCTTTAACTTTGAGATTTCATAACCCACGACAGATGGCGCTTGAAACCATAAGTGAATAAAAAAAGAGGAACTGCTTCTTTTTTTTTTCGCTATTCTTCCTCCCTCTTATCTCAGACCCACAATAAACCGCAGCTGTGTCTCAACATGGGAAGGAAAATAGTTTCCTTTGAAATGGCTTCTTATATCTCTTTGCTTCCTCTATGCGACTCAGTTTTGTAACACTTCACCAATTCTTTAAATGGCAACAGTGTTTACAGTGTTATCGTCAGGGTGACGCCTAGTTATCATTAGAGGAAGAAAATGTAGATTTTTCAACAATCAGCAAACTTGGTGGAGTCAACTGAGGTGAAGGTCAGATGATTTCAATCGCCAGCGTTATTTTGTTTTATTTTGGTGTCTTTACCTTATTATACTTTGATATGAAATATCACTCCGTGTCTTAGAAAATATTTACTATTTTATTAAATCGACTATGAAAAGATTTAATAAGAGATCAAGATTGAAAAGGAAAAACATTGAATAAAGTATGTATAATGTGTATATATATAAACTTAATCTTGACCCATTCTAATATATTTTAAGCGAGATGTGACACCAAAAGTTTCAGAAGCAGTTTTATCTCTGCAAGTTGCAGAATCAAATAATGGTGGGATACTAAAACAAGTCGGGCAAATTGCAAATCCAATGCAAAATGACTCCAAAAACTGTATTTATGTTCAGTTTTTTTTAAACGTACACAGTTAGTGTGTGTTTTTTTTTCTCTTATGCTATGAAATTACTTGAACTGGTGAGCTAAAGCTGTGATTTCTGAGGCTAGCTTTTCTGTTGTGTCTAAACTTTATAATCTCTATTTAACATATATAGAATATTGTTGAGGCTCTTTAGGTTGCAGCTTGTAGTAAGTAGCCAAAGGGTTTAAATATCTGTGAAAAGACGGGACGTTGTAGGAAGCTGCAGGAGTCAAATTTATGTACAGAGCACATTTAAAAAGTGATTAATATTATTATTCTGCTTCCAGTGTTGTGACAAAAGTCTCTTGCAACTTGTGACTCATGCTCCCTTGGAATATTATTCACATATTTATCATTTATATTTTCACCTATAGCAGCTGTACAATGACGGCTTGACAAAATTTCAGAAAAGAAGTGTAAAAAGAGAAACTTTAGTTCCATATTGGATGTGGTCACTATTATGTTCACCAATCGATCATCCAGTCTTATTTTGTTGAGCATTTTTCATGCACAGCACATCTAAAGCATTTAGATCAGATAAAATGATAAAAAGTAACAGAAAACAACAACAAATAAAAGGTAATACATGTGGGAATTTAAACTACAATTTTGGATTTAGTTTGAAAATTTACTCAAAGTACAATTATTGTGAGAAAACGCATACTGTAAAAAAAAATAAATCAGCATGAAGTCACACTAAAGAAAACCCTGAATACAGTGAACCTAGACTGAGGTTTAAATCTAAAAAAAATACTCATAATTGAAAAAGATTCAGCTTAAATTTGCTGCTTCTCAAAGCTACCAAGACGACACCTTGTCATTATTTGTGCTACATGGCTGAGCAAACACTCAGGCTCTCAGTGATGTTGTTGAAGGAGAAGCTGAGAACCGTTTGTCTCCACCAGGACCTGCTGCATTTAGAGGAACGACTTGGGACTGTGAATCGAGGAGCCTCTCAGGGAACCATAGAGAGGTGCACCTACCCACACAAGTACAAGAAGGTAAAACCTGCTCAGAGTGTTTCATTCTGTCTCACAATTTCTCGACATGTTGGACGTACGTGTGCATGTCTGCTGCAGTGCATTCTGGGACAGAGTGCGCAGTGGTCTTTTGTGCTCTGATGTTTTAGAAAACACTGTAGTGTCTTTTACCAGAGATTGCAGCCGTGAAGATAATGTTGGGGGCGGTGGGGGCGGGGGGAAAGATTCCTTAGAGGTTTTCAAATGTACCTAAACAAGCAATCTAACACCCTGCCACCCAATACAGAAGGTGTTGGAGAGAGACATTGACCAACAGTTAACCCCTGAAGCTTGGGCATCTATTGGGAAAAATATGCACGCAACCCCAGAATCGGTGAGAATCAAAACGAACAAATCAATTTGGAAACATGTCTCTGCTCACATGTACGTTAGATTTTATTGTTATCCTTGGGGGCCGGGAAATTCGGCTGATATCTTTATTTTTTATTTTATTATCATTATTATTTTTCTTATTATTTGGATTACTTTGATTTGTTTAGCATTGAGACTAGAGATAGAAAGTTTTCCTTTTTGTTTCAGGACCAAATGACCATTCTCTCTGTTCCCAAATTTTAAGTTTGTTTTGTTGAAACAAGAAAAAAAAAAAAGAAGAAGTTACTGTTATGGCCATTTGTTTTTAATGTCATGTTAGGTGTTTAGTTGAGCAGTTTGAGTGATTTTATTGAGCGAATTCGCTTTTAAAATTCATGTCTCCAAACGTTTCTCCCCGACAGAGAAAGCTGCACGGCAAGCAAGATGAAGATGAGGGGGCTGATGAAGACACGGAGGAGAAGTGCACCATCTGCCTGTCGATACTGGAGGAGGGGGAGGATGTCAGGTAAGCCTCTCCGCTCTCCCTGGAGTTCGTCGTGCCTTTTTCTCACAGCTTCAAATGTGTTCAATTATCCGTTCAGAGGGGCGTGTCTGTGAGCCCGCAAACACAGGTGCAGTCGCTCCAGTTTCCTGCCGTCCAGCGGGATTTTCATTTTTCTCTAAAAACAACCCAAAGGAGTTCTGGTAATCAGCAGAAAAGTCCCAGAGTGCCTTAAAATTACCGGCCTCATGGAGCTGCTTTTTGGCACAGGCTCAGGTTTTCCAGGAGGAGACGCTGCCCCCTGATGGCAGAAAGGCTGATGTGTCTAAATCTGAGGTCGTGTACGCTTTGCCTTTTCCTTCTCCTACTTTAGCTCTGCGGTTTATTCCCAATTCCTGCTGCTCAGACCTAAACCTTAATGACATTTACATCAGGGTGCTTGAAATTCTTGAAAATATTTGAATTTCAGTTTGGTTTTTTCAAGGCTTGGAAAATGCTTAACATCTGTATAAAGCCTGTGGAAGTGCTTGCTACTAAAACTGTGTGCAGTTTTAGTAACAGTAAAGTACAATCTAAATTTGGAAAACGTTATTTACAGTTGAAGCCAGATATTTTCATACACTTAATAAAAAGACACACATTTATTTTCTGTCTTTCTGAAGTTAAATCAGGCTAAACTTTTCTTGTTTTAGGTCACTTAGAATCACCATGGCAAATGAGAGCGTTTTTTATTTTATTTTATTAAATTTCATTTTTGAATATTTATTATTCCTAATGTCTCAGTGATTTATTGATTTGAGTAATTAAAATAAAGTTTGCCTTTTATTTTAAAGAAAATTAATGAAATTCGCACTTTTCAGTAATAAATTCCAACATATAATAGTGAATTTAAACTGCCGTCTTCTGCTTATTTGTATTGTTTTTATTTCCAAAGTTTGGTGTTGAAAGTTTGAGAACTTAAATTGAAAACTGTACGAACCCTGCTACATGCAGATGCTGTGTAAAGTGTAATTTGTGTACAAAACCAACCTATAATAATTACGTTTAAATTTCTTCTCTTTCTGATATTTGAACTGTTTTAAACACAGTTGTTTTCCAGACATCTGGATCATCATGAGCCGTTCGGTTGCATCTGAAAGGTTGTTTTACACCAACTCAGGGTTGTTCTTGCACTGAGAATTTGATTTTGCACAATTGATTGAGTCATTTGATCTGATGAAATTATCTCCTTTCTCACCACAATAGACAAAGTTTGCTTTCTGCAGTGGCCGCTCTAGGAGATGTGGTCAGATCTCGAAGCTCTAAAAGTGATCTCTGTGCGTTTTTTCCCCCCCCCCGCAGGCGCCTGCCGTGCATGCACCTCTTCCACCAGCTGTGTGTGGATCAGTGGCTCCTCACCAATAAGAAGTGCCCCATCTGCAGAGTGGACATTGAGGCGCAGCTGTCGGCCGAGAGTTGATGCTGTTTTCCCAACAACACTTTTGTTTGTTCGGAGTTTATTTTCAGATCATATTAACTTTCTCTTCAGTACTGCAGTCAACCAAAGATGGCACGAATTACCTGCGCAGCTCTACTACTACGAGGAAAACAAAACAACAAAAAAAAAAAACATAAAACAAAAAAGCATCGAGCCTAGAGTGCCAGCTCTCGCATAGTAGAACAACAACTAGATTTCTCATTATGGATTTAAGATTTTATTGTATTTATGAAGCTTTTATGTAGCTTTTGATTGTTTCCTCAAGTGTCATTTCCGTTTTGTTTCTCTGCATGTTTCCTTGCAATGCATTTCTTTGCACATATAACGTGGGCTTAACACGGTCCGCCGAGTTGCAGGTGAGGGGAGCTGCTCTAGTAAAGATGCATTTCTGTAAACCTAATGCCTTGCTTTACTAGAATAGAATGTCAACCTTCAGTTTAGACAAAAAAAAAACAACAAAAAAACATTGCAGGATTCATTTTACCAGTCATTGTATTGATTAGTTTATGTTTAGCAGATGTGGATTGTTAGTGAAAGATGTTTTTTTTTTTGTTTGTTTGTTTTTGTTTTTTCTTCCAAGTAAATCAAGACATTCCTAACTAAGGAAATATGTTAACAAATCAGCTGCTGTATTAGTGCACACCCAGTATTCCTAGAGTGGAAATCAGCTCCATGGTTCACCTCACTCCCAGAATATGCACATGCTTTGCTACGACTACACCACCCTCCTGCACCTTCATTGCGCGACGGCACCCTCATCACCATCCCCGTGTATTTTAGGGAGCAAGAAAAAGAATGTCACACCCCCACCCCTCCCCTCTCTTGACTGTTGTTTCCAAACTGAGCGATTGTCGGGAACTGCTGTGAATCTTTTCTCATTTTTTATTCCGTCGGGGTTCTTCCCACAGACAGACGTGCGAAGCCTAACTAAGGGGTTTTTTTGTGAGATGATCTCAGGCCTGTGAGTGTTGAAGAGATTTGAAAACTGGTGATCATGCTGTTAAATTGATACTGGCAGTGGCGTTGACTTTTTAATCTCCTGTGTGAGTGAGTGCGTGTGTGTGTGTGTGTGTGTGTGTGTGTGTGTGTGTGTGTTCAGAGTGGAAAAAACACAGCTCAAGTTGAGATTTACTGTTTGTTCTCACACTTCTAACTGATTTCGCCACCATCCCTTTCTGTCTCTCTCTGTAGTTGAGCGGCAGCGTCCATTTTGGATGCTGTGGAAAGAAGAAAAAAAAAAAACACTAATACTGTTGATTAACTCACTCGCATAGACTTGCACAAGAGAGAAAACGGTAGATTAGTAGTGAATATGACAGTGCGCTGAGGCCATGTGTTTCCACTCTGATGATCATGAGAAAAAAAAAAAGGAAAAGATATTTTGAGCTGAGTGTTGAAATGCAGTACTTAAAGCAGGTATCCATGCATTCATTGACTTAAAGGCACCAGGATCATATTATGTGGGATTTATATTAGTTTTGAAAAATAATATTAATAAACTTGGATAACTCTTGGTGAGTCTTTGTTTGTTTGAATGAATGAATGTGTTTGATGGAGTTGTCTTTGAATTGAGTGATGAATTTGAGGGACAGAAATCAATCTTTGTTTCTCTTCTTTCTTCCCAGATCATGAGTGTAATGCTTTCCATTTTCATGCATCTTAATATTTATTAAAATACATATATCTTAATATGTGTTATTTTTGAAAAACATGGCAGCTAAAACAGTTGTACACACACAAAGCAAATCATACAGAATGAAAATCTCAAACTAGATCATCATTCAAACGTGTTTGAGCATTTAAATCAAAAACAAATTGTGATTTTTTTTTCAGAGGTTTGATATCGCATAAGATCGATTCTGTATATTTAGATACGTAAATATTCTATTTTGACCATAATATGGCTGTCGCTATCATTAACTGCAACAGTTTCCTCGGAAATGGGAACTCGTAGTTGGGTATGACGTCAGAGCTGCGTTCCAGTTAAGAAGGTTCCAACATGGCGACGGCCATAAATATTGCATATGAACATAATTTAAAGCTTTACGTTCCGTCAGTAAACACCATATTTTTTTTTTATTTGTTCAGTTTAAAGCTGCAGGCGCTACATACAGCATTTACTTTAACATTCCGCCACAGCTTACTGTTGATCGGAGGAGCGGCCATATTGAAGCGCGACGTTAGCCTAACAAGTCGTAACTGGGGGAAGTGGTGACCGTTGATTCAGTACTTCATCTGGAAGAACCCCAGTCCAATCACTGAGTGCATATCCTGGTTTTTCTACTGGTTGAAATTCCTGTTTTAAATTTTTTTGGGGGAAAAAATGTCATGTAATATTCTAGTTTTCTTAAAGGTGTAGTTTGGTTTTTCATTAGCTGAAAATCATGTCTATCGACATTTGGAAACGCTTGAAAATATCACGGTGTCATATGGATCTTTATACGAGTTCAAATTTGATATTCAGATTTATTGAACTCTGTAAACTAGATGAATAACTGAAGAAAAATGTATCCCTCAGATCCTATCAGGTCCATGAATTATATCTATACATATATTGGTATATTGTGCTGTCGTAGGGTTTTTTTTTACGTCCTGCACCAAACAATTTTACAAATTCAATGAAAGTTCAGAAAGCCTTAACTAGTTACAATACACATTTTAAAAATTACAAGGACTTTTGGCTGCTTGAAAATACAATACAAAGTAATTAGGGTTATTGAAAGTTTTGTGCTGCTGTACTGCATACATAGAAATGAAAATGAGAATTGTGTGCTTTTAATCCTTAAAGTTTTTTTCAGGCAAAGTGAGGATGACACTTGTTGTAAATCAGAGTAAAACCAAATGTTAACAATTAAAAAAAAAAAAGTCATTACACGTGCAGAAACATGAATCTTACCTTAAATTTAAAAGGGGGTTGGCGAGTAAGATTTGGTAAAGATGTACGTTCATCTAAAGAGGGGTTTGGACCAGTGAGCAACAGTTTTTTTTTCCTCTGTAGTCCTTTTAAGATGTGTCCGACTCTTTGTCTGGTTCAGGAGTGTTTTACAGGAATCCAAGAATTGCAGCCAATATCCTGCTTCACAAAACACTCTACCACATTTTTTCTTTCCACTTAACTTTCCAGTTATATGCTGGTAAATGGCACTATGAAGCGCATCCTTCTTTAAAAATTACCTTCTGTATCTTTCCCTCCTTGTGAAGGTTGTCATTAGCCAAGTAGTTATTATTTCAATAGAAATAATAACTACTTTAGACATTAGTAGCTAAACTAATGTCCAAGTTTAGCTACTGAATTTATCCCAAACTGCATTCTTTTTAATGGTCAGCAGGGGGCGTTAAATGTCTGAAAAACTTGACTAAAGCATCACTTATTGAAACTTCTGGTTTTGCTTGATATATAATAATGTTAATTTGGAGAAGGTGTGACGAAAAAAAATCTGATAAAAATCAGTAAAGCATTTATTCAGGCAATATTACAAAGTTTAATTAAAATACTCCTCTATTAATGTGTGTTGCACAAAGGGTCTGTTCACCAATCTTATGACCAAACTGTTTATTGATGCAGTTTTATGAAAAAAAGTCCCAGCAGGCTTTACTGACTACAGCATAATGTGGTCGTATGATTGAAATAAAACTAAGGAATGTGTGTTAGGACTGCGGCAGCAGCGCAAAAGATGTGCAGAAACATTAACCAGAAGCAGCTACAAAAAAAAAACAGCTCAACAAAACATAAATCCATACACCAAGTCTTCAGCTGTAGCATAACTGGAAACAGAAACAGCTCTGTGTTTTTCAAAACGGGGAAAAAAGGATTTACTAAATGTACATCCTTTTGCGTAAAAACACAAGGAAATCCTTTTAAATTCTGCCCACCAACAGGCATAAAAACACATATACAGAAATGAGATCCAGAAAATGCCTGTTTGTCTTAATTTCATGTAAACAAATGATTTTCCTCAGTAACTAGGTAACTTTATTGCTTTTGCTCGTCACAATCCGACCCTCGCAGACGGAGCTTTGTGGCCGTGACGTGAACGTGAGACGCCGTCTGTGTCCAAGGTAGTACCTGTCCCAATAAAGTGCTAATACACCACAGACCTCACGCTCAGGCTACACACTGGTGTCATTAGAGAACAAAAGCAGAATAAAAAGTGAGGGAGGTTTTCCAGGTAATACTTCACCTCACTGCAATGCCCTCAGAATCAGAAGAAAGAAAAATAAAAGTACGCTTTGGTCATTCAATTTTTAAAAATCCTCATTCAGCATTTTGATTCTTTACATGCCTGTTAAATGTCTGCGTCACAATAAATATTCCTGCTAAAACTGAAATCACTTCAGTTTCCTTCAACCTTCATCTAGAAGCAACGTAGTGGAAATAAAAGTACAAAATAAATCACAGCCTGGTCCCAGAGATTTAGCCGATTTCGTTTGAATGCTTCGAAACGCTGCAGCGCACATCCTCTATAAGATATAACACGGTAAGTAAAGGGAATACAGAGATCCATAAATACAATAAATAGTTTGTTCAGTACTCAGAGGGGACAGACCCCGGCGGTCTTTGTGTCTTTGGAGAAAAGCCTCATCTTTGGCCCAACAGAACCGATGTTTGGTCTGGCGGCGTAACTGAGCGTTACGTTGGGTGACTGTAAGGCAGCAGTGGAAGAAGAGTCTCACAGTGTTTCCTCTCCCCGAAAGTGGGCTCTGCGCCGCCCTCAGAGGCCGGGGCCAGCGGGGTGGGGGGGCGCAGCAGGCGCATCGCGTCGCCCTGACAACCAGCAGCCTCTAGATCTTGGTGACGTAGTTGTTGGGGAAGAGTCCCTGCTTCCCGCGAAGTCGTCCCGTCCACCATCCGGAAGCATCTGCTCAAACAGAGTCAATGAACGAAAGAGGAAACGAAGCCGTCTTTTTTTTATTCGCCATTTTTAAAGACGCTCACCCTCTTTGATGATGTCGATGACGTCGTCGGTGTTGAAGCTGAGCTC